GGGAGGTAAATCCATCAGTGTATCCCTTTGTAATTTGTCTCACAGTAGGTACCAGTCTTTAAAATTTTTATGATGAAGTTTATTTATGTGCAGGGTTCTCTTTCAGGTAAAGAAGAAGAAGAAGAAAACTAAGATTGCCACAGGAAAGAAAGTGAAGACAAAACCAGCAGAATTAGATGCCAGGGAATTGATAACACAATCAGGATCTTCTTCAGCTTCATCTCCAGAGGAGCAGAAGACATGTGAGTAGAAAATATTAGTCGTGTGTTAGGCTTAAAGACTGTCTCAGTGGGTTAAACCCTTAATATAGCAAGAAAATGAATTTTCATTCACTTGAATTTTCACCAATTTTCCCATAATGGCCAAGGTATATCCTATCCAAAACCATTCAGAAAATGAAGCTACCTAAAACCGTTTTTAAGTTCCATTAATTTATTTAAGACGACTCGTCTTAAATACTCAGCTACCATCTCACAGTACAGCTTCAGAACGCGCAATTTCTCTCTAAGTCTCACGGTTTACTATGAATGAAATACTATAGTGAGACCCAGATGTTACTTTTTGGCGCCAAGACAGCAAACATGGAGACGTGCGAAAAGTCCGAAGAGTGCAATAAAAGGAGAAGAAAAAAGTAGTCATTCCAGTTCGCTAAATACGAAAACAAATAAGAGACAGACACAGAAGGTCTCAGACTGTGTATGTTGGGAGGGAGTTGGGGAGGTGGAAGAAACTAAAAGCAGAATTGTGTTACATACAAGGCACTGGCAAAACTTCTCGACACGTGAGTAGGCCTATGCGCTTCACAGGGCTCAAGTATGTATGATTATCGTATAAACATGTTTACGTGATGATATTTCTGCTCATACAAAGTTGGTTCAGGTATAAGAGCATTTTGGGCTTTATGTTTTCTGTTTTTGATTGGTATGTGTACCGAAAATATGGTTACTAACAAGATACATGTGGGAATTACTTTTATGGTTAGCGACGTTATCTGAACATTATTTCGACTTGCCTCACTTTTGAAGTTAGTTTTGTACAGACAGCTGATTTAGAATATACTATATAAGAGAAGTTTTACAACTTTTCTGCCAAACTTGCGTTGCATCATGACATCATCTCATTCTGGCTGAACCCTGCTGTGATTGGTCTTGAGCGTGGTGAAATCCAGGTCATGACCTTCTTCTGGCTATGCTCTGAAGTCATGATAAATAGTTTCGTTTTCTAATTTTTTATAGTTGTTTTAGCAGGACTTTTTTTATACAAATTTCATTAAAATAATCATAAACAATCTCCTAAAACACAAATCTGATCAAAGTTTTACATAGAACCTTCTCCTATACTTTAATCTAACCCACTGAGAGTGTTTTTAACAATGCATCTCATTATGTGTTTCATTTATTTGTAATAGACTTTGTATTCATAATAGACTCTGTTGACTTAGTTTAAAAAAACTATATTAAGATTTCAATCTCTTCCAACTCCCCCCACCCCACTCGCAGAAAAGAAAAAAAAAAGAAAGGAGAAAAATATAGCTTGAGAATTCACAGTTATGTAACCTTAGTGATAGAAATAAAAAGAAAGTAATCATAACCAGGTGTGAAAAAAATTGGTTAAAATGAAATCTGACCTTCGGCCTTTATGTTATGAAACATGACCTCTAACATTTGAGATGTTCATATTTTCCAGATCGTAAGCCATCATACACACCACGTGGTACCTCCGTACGGATTGATGTCCCTGCCTACCCAATCGGCATTCATCACGTGACCCCTCGCTCTGATGACATCATTCCAGCATCGCCTGCTCCAGAATACCACTCAGACTCGGCAGAATCTTTACAAGAAATCCCTCTATCAGACACAAATATATCTAGTAGATCTCAAAAAAACACTGAACGATCTTCAACCCGGCTTAGTCCAGGTTTGTCATCCAGTTCCAGGGATCCTAGTCCTTCTTTTGGGGACGGGATATCCGAGTACTCGGACCGGTTGCTCCCAGGTCGGAAGAAAATGAAGAAAAAGAAAGAGAAACTGCACACAGATTCCTCGTACCCTGTGAGGACTAATCATCACTCTCTCAGTGCCAAAATGCTCCAAGAGGATGGCGTTTTTGATGACAATCAAGATATTTCTACTCGAGTAAGGTTGACTTCAAGGCCTCGTGTGAAAGCAGCGCATTTAGGCGTTCCGCCATTGGACCTCTCTAGTGTTCGTGGAGACAGTGATGCTGCAATGTCTTTAAGCTCGTCTAGTCGATCGAAGAAATCACACATGACAAGTCAAGCTTAGAATTCAGGCGGCTGCGTTCAACCTGCTCTCAGGTGGTTAATCTAAAAGGCATCCCTTTGCTCAATAGACTTAGTATAACTAGAAAAGCTTCATGGTTTTCATTACTATCTGTGCCATAAGACTTAAGCAGTGATGAAGTCGCCTAAGCTTTACTGCATGTTTATTGTGGTCATTTCTGGATCTTGGACACTTGACCCCAGAAAAGAAGACCTTGTCAATCATAGGAGAGTTGCTGTATTTTTTAATGCTTGAATGTCAATGTATATTTCAGGAATGGGATCTCTTGATGCCTTATACAAACTTGCAGTTGCCAAAGATGTGTTTCTTTCATAATATGCACAATGGACTGTATTATATATCTCTAGCCTTCACAGTGGCAGTAATTATGGAAGCTATTTGAGTTTCTCCATTGTGAAAGATTTGTCATTGTGTCTTATTAGGTCTACCATATTTTTATCATTGCTTTTTTTTTTAATTCTTTTTTACTTCAATTCAGCTGTAAGCTGAAGTCTAAATCTCTTGCTCTCCCAACCTCCCAAGTCCTGTTGAGTGTTTAATTTCATGAAAGAAAATTTTAAAAACAGAGCTCATTCTAATAACTTATGGCATATTTTATATTTAATGAAGGTATAACATTTAGTGAGAGGAAAGACAGTAACATGATGAGCAGAATATATTCAGGACTTTAGAACTTATTGGAAAGGCTGGCAGTATGGGAAAAATTGATTGAAAAAAAGTTGCAAAGTGACCTGAATTTGTTGAAAAGGCAAGTAAAAGAAGAAAATTCTTGTAGAAAATTTTAGAGGTAATTATTTTCTATTTTTTAAAAAATACTATTTGGGTCAGAATCTCCTGGCTATAGTGAGGTAATAATTGGTTTTTAAAAATATCTTAGCATACAAAGAATAGGAAACAAATGAAGATGTACTGAACAATAATCTAAGCAGTACAGAATGTTTTTAAACTTTAAAAGTATAAGTTAAATTCCAAAATTTCAAGCAATGTGTAATTATTTTCAAATAATATATATATTTTCTTATATATTTCTTCATTTTAAAATATTTACAGTAAACATCTTTTTCTTCAGACCTTTCAAATTGTGCAGAAATGCAATTGATCAAATAATTTTCATTTTCTCAACTATGAAATATTTTTTCTAAATGTAGTCATTTTTACTAGACATTTAGTTCTACGTGGAAACTATAAAATTTAATTTTATCAGTTCTAAGCACCATTGAAGAACCAGTGAAATAAAATTGTGCCTGTGATAGTAATTCCGTTTTTAAAAAGGCTTCTTTCCAAAGGAAAAATTACTTGACGCACATGAGATCCTGTGTAAGATTATTATTATTATTGTGGATTTTATAGATATAAACCAACATGAAGGTGCAAATAAAAATAATTACGAAGGACACATCGTCTTACTTTGAATAGAGATCATGTATTATATCATTCTTAATGAATATAGAAAAGACTGAAGACCCTGTACACATACAATATCTTATTTATTATTGTACAATACGTGCACTCCTGAAACTGCTACAATTGCATCACATCAAATTGCTAAACAAATACAGACTATTTGGAAAGCTACAGTACTTCAAAGAAAGAATGATCGCCGACTGTCTAGACACAGTGGCTGAGATCAGAATTCCAGGTATGTTAGGTGTTAGTGTTACAGATCTGTCAACATTCCTGTTAACCCAAATAAGAAAACATGGAGTTCAGGTAAATAGTCTGTTGACATGTGGTCAACATCCCGCTATTCTGCTGCAGCATGTTGTTAACAGGCTGATAGCCCCATGTTGACCCATTTCCTGGTGTGTGACACCAGCAAGAATAGCACAGTGGGAATCCCCAAGTAAACTTACATGTGTGCACTAGAGAGAGCCTACATACAAGTTTGAAGTGAGCAGGTCAGTTTGCATTTTGACTATACATGTACAGTTTATGTTGTTCTTTACCATGACACTAAGGCTTCGTTCACATGCAATGTCTATTTTCTAAAAATTTATTTTCTATTCGCACTATCTTATGATCACGGTCTGTGCCCTGAATATCCCGCCGCGTAATTACTGGCAGCGCGAGCCAGTTACTTATAGTAACTTATAGTAACTGGCTCGCGCTGCCAGTAATTACGTTGCGGGATATTCAGGGCACAGACCGTGATCATAACACATGCCGCGAATAGAAAATAGAATTTAGAAAATAGACATTGCATGTGAACGAAGCCTAACACTACCATGGTCAGTCTTGACCTCTTGAAGATGTAACACTTGGTGGTTAAACTTTCTAAAATTAAGAGGAATTCAAATGTTTTATTTCTGACATGCTAAATAGCGAAAGCAGATAAGCTAAAATAATTCTGTGATAATCCCTCGTTGATCCCTGTAGAAACCGATAAGCAATTGAAAATTTAAGCTTAACATTTTAAAGTTTGCTCTGATTTATTTATCATTTTATGTAACAGAGATGTTTGGTGTAACACCGTCTGTTACAGAAACTGTAGTTTTCAACAGATCTGCTACACTCACATTGGTGTTACACTGGTGTTTAGTAAGAAGTCAGAATTGTTGATTAATATAACATATCTGTAACACCAACACCTAACACATAACATACCTGGAATTCTGACCTCACCCAGTGTCCCTCCATAAAAAATGTTGAAGACTTTTCGATAATATTCACACCTAGACATCAATCATGTCTTTGATATGTCTAACTCAAAGCAGCAAATGTCATATGACACGGTTTTTGCAACCTGAAACTGTATGGGTACATTGGTTATAATATTAATGGTGATACCAATACACTCTGAGCTCTGTCTTCATCAAAACGGTTTTATTTTTAAAATCTATTGTCTAGTGCTACATTAAAAAGAAAATAAAAAAACGTGAAAAAAATCAGGTTCCATCCACTGCAAGAAGTCACTACACATACCTAACTGTTAGATATTAGTTTCTAAAATATTCATTCTATACAATGCTTATAACTAAATGTTCAGCTGTTCTCAACCAAAGACTAGAATTCCATTTGGAAGCATTCATATAATGTTATGTATTTACATAAAGCTGTCCATGCCTTATTAAACATTGTAAAAACTTCAAACCTTAGATCATATTACAAAAATTTTCTATGTAAATGACCATTTATGGCATATAATATGATATAACGCACTTCAGATCATAGTTTTAAGTGAGCATTTCTTGGCAGTTTTTGGTGAGGTAAAAAGTAACTTATCTGAGAACTTAACCACAAGTAAATATGTGAAAGAGCTGTTAGTGACTATATACATGTATTGTGCTATTAACACTAAAAGATAAATAAGGTTAAGAAGAGTTTGATAACAAAACAGTGAGCTACTGGAAAATCATCAAGATTAATCCAATGAGGTCTGATTTAAAAAAAAAAAAAAAAAAAAACAACCCGAAAGACGACACTGTGCTAATAATAATAATAATAATCTTCCTTCACTCTAAATACTTCAGCTCCAGTTACACTGGGCTTGCAATGTCTTGGAAACCAAAATTTGGCCCACTTATTGAGAAACAAAAATTTCACGACAAATAATCCAATTGAGCTTTATCATGCGTCATATCCAATGTATATGTATATATCAAGAAGAACATATTCATCACTATCTGCGTCATATTGTACATGTATTAAGATCTGCATCATATTTTATCTTTACCAACTAACTCTATTAATTAGCAAAGAGATACAGCTGTTCTTTGTCAGTCTGCCTTAATAACACATAAAAATTGCACTATATATCAAGTTTTGGAAGAAAAATGGCTCACATGCATTAGGCACAATTCCAATGACATGGAATTTGAAATGTGCACATTTACCATTTCTTCATATGTAGTAAGAATTTCAGCCCAATGTGGGCCAGTTTCTTCAGGTTTTAATTCATATGTATGAACACTAAGTGATATTTGTGTAGAATCTGATGTGGACAACTGGAAATGAAGAGATTGGCATGCATCAGATCTGAAGATCAGCGTATACACATTAAAACAACAGACACAATTTTTGGGTCTTTTGACAATAACTTCAACATATCCAGGAATGGAAGAACTTACTGTAAAATCAATTCTAATAGCACTGCATTGAACCTGGCTAGAATCATTAAAGACCATCATTAGCTGAGCTAGAAACATCTCAGGGCATAGATATGATCTTCATAAAGGGATGAAATTTTGTTCCAAAATTCATGTCAATTCCTACACTGATTATCGAAACTGAATTTTCCTTTCAAGTAGCCACTTGAATCCTAATTTCCCACTTTAACTTAAACGGTTTGATTAGTCAAATAACTTTACATTTTTTTTTTCAAAAAAAAAACAAAAAGGCGATTTTCTGAGGAACTTGGTTTTAAACTGTTCCCCATATTTTGTTGCATCAATGGGTTCTTATAACTTTGGAACAAAAATAACAAGTCACATCCTGACATGTTCCCAACACATCTTTGCAACCCACGAGTATTAACTAGTATNAAAAAAAAAAAAAACAAAAAGGTGATTTTCTGAGGAACTTGGTTTTAAACTGTTCCCCATATTTTGTTGCATCAATGGGTTCTTATAACTTTGGAACAAAAATAACAAGTCACATCCTGACATGTTCCCAACACATCTTTGCAACCCACGAGTATTAACTAGTATCAGTTGTCATGACAACAGCTAACATTAACTAGTACAGAATCCCTGAATACAGAAATCTTGATAATTTTGGCACAACCATTTAAGGCAACTTTTCCCTCTCCCTGTGTACATGCGTTTTTACTTCAAGGAGTGTCGCTACCTGCGACTTTCTTAATAATCTTAATAGCATCTGCATTGTAGAGAAGTTGCATATGTTCGGCATTGGGAATGACATAATGGTACACACTCTGGGGTTGCCTCTCCTGCCACAGCAAACAGCCTTCAAGACTTCTACTGTTCACCGTCCCATCCCCATTACTGTATGTCACCGTGGGCTGAGAATCCGGCCACTGCTTTTCCGTGAACGAAAACGCCGCCGGCGTCTTCACCCCCAATCCGTGGACACAGTGCACCTCGACACCAGGTGGCGACAACTTCCTCGTCAATCCCTCTGTGTCCTGTCTCATGTACCAGCCGTCCATGAAGTTAAGATCCTGAAAGAACTTTTTATAGTCTTTCAATGTGTAGTTGTAACCTGGCCTGCTGACGAGGACATCGTCTGGGCTCCAGACAGAGTCTGTGGGTAAAAGCCAAGCAGTGCTGGGCATTGACCTCTGTTGTGGGCGAATCTCCAGTGGGTTCAGGATTATGGAGTAGAAACCCAAACTATCACCTAAAAGCAAAAAATACAAAATAAACATATAAATGAAACAAGAAAAAGGAGAAAGAGAGGTTGAAATTTCTTACTGGTATTCTAGTAGAGTAAAAGAGTAATAACAAAAAGAAAACAAATACATTAAAATAATTTAAAAATCAAAAAAAAAAAAAAAAATTTAAAAAAGAATTCTGTGTCTGTGACATGTTTTTCACAACAAGAGAAAATCTTCTTCAAGGTTTGTACACATTCTTTCTCATTACTTTCTTCAATACGTATATCTTTTTTTCATTGTGAAAATGAAGGGGACTTGGTCATGTATACTTACCAGAAGACATAAGCCTGAGTGTTTTTGCTGCTCCTCCCCATGGCCCTGCCAAGGACACAAAGGACCTGATATATTTGTCTTTCCACTGCTGTGGCTGGTGGTTGAGGAAGTACAGGGTGTACATATTACCCATACTGTGACCCACCAACACTACGCGGCTGTTGTTGTTCATAGTGAACGTTTCCTCTATCAGCTGCTTGAATTTCAGGAAAAAATCTGCCTGCTCATCTGAAACATTAAAATTTTGAAATGAGCTATTCATATTTCCACAAGTTTGTTTCTACCATAACATTGGTCTGGTAAATGCAAAATAACAGAGGAAATCCTTTGTCTCAATGACATCACATTCCCAACAATGAAAAGATTCATTTGCTGGTCTAAAAGGGGTCCAAAAAATGTTTTGCTCTCTTACTTGGTGCTTTCCTGAAGTCATATGGTGCTCCTCTCACAGACTGGTTCCTTACATAGCCCATGCTTAACAAGTCCTGGACCATAACCGAAAAATAGGAGGCTGAAAGAAAAAAAAAACATGGGTGTTATGCAGTTCATTAAAATCACACACACACACACACATGCACGCACGCACGCAAACACATCAACCAGGTCAAGTGTATATGTTAGTCTTATTCACTTCCTTCTTAACTCAGTGAAAAAGAATAAATCACACCAAGGCACTTGTTTTTTTTTAAAGTCATTGTTTTAGCCAGATCTGCTCTGTAAAGCACACTGCTAATAAAGATGGGCTGAAAATATTAATTTAACATATTTCACCTTAAACACAATAACAGTACGAAGAAACAAGTCAATTTCTATTAATGCAAATGCATAATCCTCCCACTACTGATCTCAATCAGAAATTTCCTAAATATCCTAGAAATTGTTCAGCTATAGCTAGGCTATAGCTATTCATATTATCACAAAAATTTATTAAAATCAACATTATTATTATTATTACTAATGTGTTTGTACTTACTAGGTGATATTTCACTAGAGTCCAGCCATTCTACAGTCTTAGTTCCACCAAAGCCTGGGATCCTGATGTCTACTCCAGGAGAGTTCTTTGTAGTTCGTGTTACATTGTCATAAACCAACCTAAAAAAATATATATATATATATTCAAAACATGATTGTGTCTTTTTTTACTTTTAGTCATGTAAGTGTATTTGTATTAAATCTATTAAATAAAGAACTAATACAAGCAGCAGTTGACATACCACACTTCAAACCATTCCTCTAAAATCCAGATAAGTCTAATCATATACTCAAGCATCATCAAAGTTTGTTTTTTTTTTCTTTCTTTGTACGTTTTCATCTATCCATCTTGTTTAAGCAGGGTTAAAGTATTTTTGTAAGGGCATTAAAGGTGCTATGACATGCACTCACTATTTGTACTTTGAACCCTTTCACCTTATGAAAACATTTAAAGTATCTGAATAAAACCCTTACTATACTGAGGCCTATTCAAATGTATATTTAAGGTGGCAGAAAGCAGGAAGAGAACAAGGATGTTACTTTCTTAACATAAACTTTTGTTACACAAACATGTACATATAGCACTTTATACAAAATTAATAAAGACAAATGAAAGAGAAAGAGGAAGGAAATTTTCAGATAAGTCCTTAATTCCTGGTTTTCTTAAGTATGAGAAAAGATAAATGAGAATTTTTAACTCCATGTTTGAAACCGCAACTTACTAGTACCAGTATGAGAGAGAGAGAGAGAGAGAGAGAAAGTAAATGTAATCGCTTCCTTATACTTCCCATCTCCTACTTATGTGGTCCCCCTTCGTGACATAATTTTGAAGCCTTATTATCTCAAACTCATGCTATCCGAGATGGATTGTACCCTAACATAAAAGGAAACACACCTTCAGTATCTTACCTCATGTTATCCACAAAGCAGTCCAATACATAGGGTTCCATCAGCTCCAAGTTGAGCCATAGTGCAAAATAGTCACTGGTTTTCTGACTGCAGAATATGTGAACAGATTTTGTCTTGTTCAGCTTTGCTTCTAATTGGCTTCCACCATCTCCTGGGACTGGAAGATGTTTGTTAAAGGATTATTTCTGTTATCACTACAAACACATCAAGAATTCATGTAGTAAATTATTCACTGCTTACACTGGCAATGGATGAAAAGATAAAATTATTTTAAATATTCAAATTACCTATGATTTTACAAAAAATGTTTGCTCTTTTGTTAAAAATAAATTTGTACACATATTTATTGTAGTCTAGATTCATCTTGTTGTCTGCCAACATAGATCCATTAGGGGCTCAACAATAGCAAACTTTTTAAGACTACATAAGCTAATATGTCCTCTCACATAGATAAAAACTTTAAAAAACACTGACAATTAAGATACCCTCACATTTCCCACCTTTAAACCAAACTTTATTAACAATCTACATTACAGTATGCTATGTATAAGTTGTGGAAATAAATTATATGTCATTTTAACTGACTGGCAATCAATAACATGAACATGGAATAACTATCATCAGCATTTAATTTAACCAGGTAACTTTTTTATGCCAGCATGATGACTGAAGTATCACCTGGTAGGCATGTGACACTACATAACACCTGACTACTTAACAACATAAACTGAATAACATCCACGTGAAATAAGCAGGTTCCTTGTCACATGCAACATACACATACATAATAAATCAACTGTGCCTCACAGGTAAAAAAATATTTTGTGGTATACTGTTTTTTTTTTTTTAATCAACATGTGACATGTGTTACCTATGGAAAAAAACAGATTACAATGTTAGACAGCTTTACTATTTTTAAAAATCAACATGTGACATGTGCTACCTGTGAAAAACAAATTACAATGTAGTATCACGTCTGAGTGCTACATCATATATTAAAAGCAAAGTGGCGATTTCTTTATAACAAAAAGCAAAGTTTAAATTAACAATGTTAGAAACAGGAAATGGACTTTGCCTCATTTGGTAAATTTAAAGGGCTATATGGTGTTAACAGCTTAAAGTGCTTAATGTTACAAACAAGGATATTAAACAAAACCTTAAAAAAAGATTATACTCAGTGGGAATTTGAAATTTGAACAGCTGGTAGCATTGTGCAAAATTCGACAAATTGTTCAGCCAGAGCAGTAAATTTTAAATCATAAAGTATAACCCAAACTTGCAAGGGCAAACCAAAAACCTTTAAAGACTATGATGTGAAACATTAAAACATGAACTGCACTGTTTAAAAGTTTAAATCATTAAAATCAAATAAAATCAAATTAAAATCATCAAACATGAGATGATGCACCAGTTGACAACAGCGAAAACACCAGTGTGCTGGGTGAAATTAGTTTTAAAAAAATGCTGAAAATGTGGTCACTTTGTTTCTGTCAAAAATGGAGAGCTTTATGGTCATTATAATGTACATTATTTAAAGCATAAATCATCTTGCTGACTTTAAAGAGTTATATGGTACAGAGTTCTTTCTGGGCATGCTTCAACAAAAAGGTCTGGCAGTTTCAAAGTCTGGCATGTGCATACTATTACACGAACGGTACCTCTCAGTTCTGTGAATTAAACCATTTTTCAAAATCTCTAGATAAAAATATCTAGTAATATATTTTCATAATTATATCAATATTTATTTTAAACAATGAAATATTTAGAAAATTACAATCACAGGTCTTAGCTCTGTGTCCCAGTGACAGATCTAAATTTTAACGAAAATGTCATTAAAATAATTTTAAGTCTGCTCAATGCCCAGGATCTATGACCAATGGCCATTAGTATTGTTTATGTTTATTGATGGAGGTGTGTACGTAATCCCTACTCTGATTGGCTGATTTGGTCACTACAAAAATCGCCTGATATCTCATCTAGAATTTCGCACATTTGGCAAAAACATAGATAATTCTGGCCTACACGATTACTATAGAATATTAAAGCTGCATTTCAGACTAGAGATTTGTTTAAACACACGAAATATGCTACGCAAAAGAGTCATGGCATCAAGCCAATTACTGGATACGCAATGAAAGGGATATAATTAATTCAATGAAATTTTCATTGACAACGCACTGACTTTCAAATTATACCATTTTTTTATATCAAAAGTGGTGTTTATATACACGCTACAGAACACATACTTACTTAATATAACAGGATGCTTAATCGACTTGGATAAAGAGCTGTCAGATAAATTCACGAGACACAATCCTATAATAAACGAGGAGGTTATCCTCCGAGCAAGCAGTCGCCAGTTCGCCATCTATGTAACTGATTTGAAATCGAGGCTTAACCCAAGAGGGCACCAATCCGTACCGTTTAACTGTATGCTGCAGATATAGGTCGTGGATTCTTCTGATATTTTGCAAATCGAGGCACGGGTTATATAAGGACCAAACATTAATTTTGCATAAATATGTTTTGAGCGCTGAAAAACACCAACAAAATACTTTTGAACTTTTAATTTTGCTGTGACAATACATGTATTTAGCCAAGTATAAAATTTTTATGATAAGAATATGTAATGTAATGATATTCATTATTATACTTATTGTAGGCCTATACATGTATATATACTAATCTCCGTTGATTAGTGAGTCAGTAAATGTAAAGCCATGTAGCCTAAGCATTTAGTGCTCAATAAATGTTATTACTATCATAATCATATATCATAGTCAAGTACGCGTACCAGTATGTTAATTTATCTAAAATTACTCAATATGTGTTAGTCTTATGTGAAAACATTTTTTTTTACATAATCAAGAGAGTACAGGATGGAGAGGTACCCCTCTCCTATTTTCCCAAGCAAAACAACATAGCAGCATATCCAACCCATCTACCCCCCCCCCCCCAAAAAAAAAGGTAATAGAGATTTATCTTATTTACTTTAGATGCATCTAATAGCATGTTATATTTTCATGCATTTTGTGACGTGCCAATTTTTAGAAAAAATTATTGAAAGCAAAACGCACACAAGCAAAATTTGATTTTGAAAATCTATGCCAAATTTTCATATTGGTTCAACTGAAGGAGTAAAACGTCTTCCACACCTTCAGTCTGCCCGTCTTTAATCTGTAGTTAAATGCCGAGAACATGACGTTGAACACGCCTCTATTTAGAACGACATTTGAAATATCTGTGCATCTCAAGAATCAAAGCCAGTAGGACTTCGTTCCTATATCTTGCTAGAAATTCGAGAAAATCGAACATAAATCAGAACTTCTGCCCCGCCCTTTATCCATTCGTGTTTGAGCGAATGCTACAGAGAAGACGAATGTTGCGGTCACATATTGCAGTGCCAGTGCATTCGCACAACCTTGCTTGCGTTATTCGATTCTAAACAACAAGTCAGTTTTCAGTCACCCATTCGGTGTGTGTGTGTGTGTGTGTGTGTGTGTGTGTGTGTGTGTGGAAAGAACGAAGTTCTATTGTGTTCTCGAGAATACGACAAGAAGCGTGTGCAGTGGACCTTATGCGCACTCACACGTCACTGCTTGCTTCACGAACACATTGTACACGGTCGTGCATAAATTCGGTTCCACATAAAAAAATCATTAAAATTATACCTTCTAATCCATTATTTTACTCGAATGTGTGTTATGAAACTCAAACAATTAGTTTGGTGTCTCTTTAATAATCTTATACTAAGTTTAACTTTATTTGACAACTATCAGTAGACTAGGCCTACAGTACACATCTGGAAACCTGCACTCTTAATTATTTTTTATACCAATTCTAATTAAATAATTAAGTTTTAATCACGGAGCAGTCACTTAGAACAACAGACCTTCCTGTACATGTCAGAAAATATCGACTTTAAGCGGTTTTATCGCTTTAAAGAATAGATGTAGACGGGCAATCGGCTCTATGTGAGTTTGGGACATTTTCAAACGCGGCTAGTTGGCCTATAACTTTAATAACATGTGCATTAAGACTTAAGCAGAAGTGAGACATCGACAACATATAATACTTTGCAGGAAAGAGAGAATGATAGAACAGATAAATGAATAGATAAAATAGAAACATAGAGAAATTTGACACAAGATAAGCAAAATAAAAACTACAGAAAAAGAAATAATTATAATTAAAATATCTGTCTGGTGTCAGAAACTTTTATTCAACCTCCATAATTTATTTATTTATTTTTTTCTAAAAATTGAAAATCACAAGAATTGCTAACAAGGTCTCTACCAAAAGTTTTCTCAAAATCGCAACGGCAGTCGAGCAGGAATATCGCGAACGACACGCCTTCCTCCTAGATACTCATTAATATTCATGAGGTCGCCTGATGGCAGCTGGCCGCCGTCGCAGCGCACAGAGACAAGAAACGGGACACTTGGTGGTAGAACCTTCTGTCCCAGAAAGACCCGAATCTCGCCAAGACATCGGTCATCTAACACAGGTTACCCTGAGAGCCTCATATATGTGAGTATATCATTCATGATCAGCATAAAGCTGGGTGCTGTAACTCGACACCCAAGCTGAAACTTGTCGGCAAGTTTCGCGGGCAATTCGTTTCTTGATGGCTGAGCTCCGCAAAGATGGCTTCCTGGTTCGACGTCAGAGACAGGTGACCGTGACTAGTTGTCTCTTTCCGTCGAATCCGGAGGACTTGGCTCAGCAATGAGTTGTTGAACTTCTAGGTCGAAAACCCAGTGAAGGCAGCGAAGGATTTGAAGGCTGGTTCGCGTAAAATTCCAGGAAAACTAAGCGTAGAATTCAACAGGTGTTTGCTACACGCTGCCCAGGTGAGTGAAGGAATGCAGCGACCACGCTTTGTTTACTTTTCTTGTTCAATGGTTCTCGCTCTCTCATACCAAAACGTCATTAAAATGAACATTCACATACGATATATAACATGTTATACACTGAACGAGTGACACAGGCCTAATGTTTTATCTTCACGATCGGTTTCGGTTGGTAATTTTGCTATTCAAGTTACCAGGTGTTATTTAGAGGATATTTAAAAGGCCCGAGACACGTGGTCTGGCAGGGAAGGAGACAGCTGGGAGAAAGCACAGATGGACTTTATTTAAAGGTTGCAATCCAGTGAAGGGGGCTCAGAGTGGAGACATGCTGGATGCACTCTCTACTGAGTTTACTTCTTTTTGTTATATGCATTTGTATGTTTGTATTTGTTTGAGACTTTTAAAGAGGGTATATTCAGGGTGTTGGGGGGGGGGGGGTCTCAGTCAGGGAAATAGAAGAGAAACTAAGGCTTGAACAGGTTCAACGATGCAAGCAATTGAAGGAAACCGATGTATGTTTTAAATAATGTAGACCAGCCATAAGGAAAATAAGGGGAGGCAATTTTTTTTAAAATTAAATTTTAGATCAAATTAATTACGATTCAAGCAACTGCTGTAGGGGGGGAAGGGGTATAAGATAATTATGTTGTGTGTCAAAGAAGTGTTGAATTCATTTTCAAAAGTGGAAATGAAACCATTAAATGAAACTGATAAACATGTAAGCCCCATTTTTTAAATCAAAACAAAAAGAATTTTTAACAAGATTTATTCAAAGGAAAGGAAGCACATCGTTTCAAGAATGAAAGAAAGTAAACACAAGAGGCCTAAAAACCTGACAAGGGCAATTTTAACTATAACAAACATTGTAACAAATATGTTTGAAACGGGGCTGGAAAATTACTTGTTTTTGTCTGGTTTTGCTCATTACACATTTTCATTTTTTTTTTTTTTTTTTGTGGGGGGGGGGGGCATCTTAGAAGTTAAGAGAGAGGCATTTGCAATCTTTGCTCAAACTCACCATCCTACCTTCCCTTGCAATATTTTTATGGCACAAAGCCACCTGTGAGAAGTTTGGCTTCTGCTCCAATCAGAGGGTCTCTGCCAAAGCCATTACTTATTATACACATCAATTCTCTTACTAAGAACTCCTTGACTAATTACTTCTGTTCAACCAGAGAATCACTGGCAACAGCTGTTGTATGAGGAGCATTTTGATTCAAAACTACAGGAATAAATTTAAGATATGCTAAAACTTACATTGAACAGGAAACATCCCCTTTGTACAGGACACTGTATGACCCTCCCCCCCCCCCCTCCCCCTTTTCATTGCACTGTCCCTTTGCATACAATTATGACCTCCTGCTTCTGAGCTAACGTAGGATATGACAGTGCAGGATCCTTTTTTAAGTATCAGTATCTCATTTTTATGTTAACCCTATCCATTTTTTCTCTTTTCACCTTTCTTATTCCTGCTGTTTTTTGTGTGATTTTCTCTTGTGCCTGCCTCATAAGCTCAATCTCTCTCTTTCTCTCTCTCTCTCTCTCTCTCTCTCTCTCTCTCTCTCTCAAGCCCTGATATGTTGTTTTATTGTCAGGCTTGGGATACCATTATCTGGAAACTGCTGATCATACATCATATAAATTAATTCACACTGCTTGACTCTGTTATGATTAAATTGGAAATAAAATAAAATTGCTTTATTATAGTAATTAAAAACTATTTCTTGCTTGCCAAATTGAATATTGTCTTGGGTATTTTAGTATAATTTCCAAATAGCTAAACTGTTAATGTAAGCTGTATGTTCTTATGACAGTGAGGAATTATTTTTTTTATCTTCTCAAACCCCCTGTGTTTAATGCTTACAATTCTTAACATATATACCACCATTCAGATGTATAGAATCTGCCATGCTCCGGAAATGTCTACTATTGTGAAAGCTTACTTAAAGAAAAATATTGGTGGGAGTGGAAATTGCGTTGTTTCATACTTATCTTCTCCTTCTCCTATCTTGTACACTTATATAATTTCTCATTTTACAGTTTATAAATTGCTTTGATAAAGTGGCTGTGGATTATTTTTCTTTGAAAGATGTCAGACTGATATTAATGGGGAGATGAATAAATAAAGAGTGTAATGCATATATATTAGTTGATTGACCAAATGAAAAATGGTACAATGTAGTTGAGTGATTCAAAAGGTGTGTTTCCACACAAGTTGTGTTGAACTGTCCTGGTATTCATGCCAACAGGCTGTCTGTTACAACAAAGCTTGCTGCAGTACATCACCAGTAAATGTATACGCTCTGTTACCAGCTGAAGATCAACATGTGCTGTGCCCATCAGTGAAGAACAGAGGAGAACCTATAGCTTGGAGATGGGTTGCACAGAGATTGGCTGACTCAACTTGGGTGTAAACTTGCCATAAAATTTACTAGAATATGAATGAACATACATATAGTTAGAATTTTTCAATTAATTTAGCAAAATTAAAACTGACTGTAGTAGGGCTCAAACTTAAACCTAGTGAAGGGACAATTTACTGAA